CTGGGGCTGATGCGCTCGTGCGACTCCCACGTCAGCATGCGCTTGATCAGCTCCACCATGCTCTTGAGGTCGGCGTGCTCGGCCAGCGCCTCGCGGTCCGGGAAGGTCAGCCGACTGGCCGCCCCACCGCCATTCACCGTCTCGATCTGGTCCAAGGACTTGAGCATGTACTTGCGGCGCTCCAGCGGGCGCACCTGGCGGGACAGCGGGGGCACAGGACTGACACGTATCCGGGACTAGGGCCCCAGGCACTCCGGCCCCAGGACCCACATGTGACCCCCGACTTCTAGGTCTGCCCATATCTGCCTCTTGCTGCTGAGAAGGCCACACCTGACCCTCACACCAGACCCCCTCTCTCCATCCCAGAGAGTTCCACACCTCGCCCCAGACCTCCAGTCCTCCCCAGCGCCATGGGTCCGGTCCTCCCTGGAACCAAATCCAGGTCCCTTTCAACCACGACAGCCTCCACACTTGACGCCAGCCCTCCAGACCTCCCAGTGATCTGTCGAACCCAGACCCTCCTTGCTACTTTAGCTGGGGAGCTGTCAGAGGACCTGCCACAAACTTTCAGTCTTGCCTTTGGCCTCGCACAGACCCTTCTTGCTGTGAAAGCTCGAGCCCCAGACTCCTCGTCTTCTCTGCTGTGTAGCCCAGACTCTCACAGCACAGGTTTGATCACAGCCACAGAGGTAGCGGACGGGCCACCCTAAACTCCCAGTCCCACCCGGGATCTCACTCAGATCCCTCTTTCTGTTGCAACTCTCACACCCAACCCCAGACCTCAAATTTTCTCTGCAGTCTAACCCAAATCCCTCATGCTGCACGAGGCGCTGACCCCAGAGCTGAAGCTGGCAGAGGAGCTACCCTAGTCTTTCCGTCACACTCGCGGTATACCCGGATCCCTTTTGCTACAGCGACCCCTACATGTGACCCCAAAACTTCCAGTTCTCCCTGCAATCTCCCCTAGATCTGTCTTGCAGCAGCCCCAAGGGCTGACCCTCAAACTTCCAGTCCCATCTTTGGTCTCACCCAGATCTTTCTTGCCGTGACAATATCCAAAGGTGACCCCCAAGCTTCCAGTCCTCACTGAATTCTAACCTAGATTTTTCTTTTCTTTTTTTCTGAGACAGATTCCCACTCTGTCACCCAGGCTGTAGTGCAGTGGCATCATCATAGCTCACAGCAGCCTCAAACTCCTGGGCTCAAGCGATCCTCCTGCCTCAGCCCCCCCGAGTAGCTGGGACTGCAGGCGAATGCCACCATGCCCGGCTAATTTTTTCTATTTTCAGTAGAGACGGGGGTCTCACTCTTGCTCAGGCTGGCCTTGAACTCCTGGCCTCAAGCGATTCTCCCACCTCAGCCTCCCAGAGTGCTAGGATTACAGGCGTGAGACTCCTCGCCCAGCTTAGATTTTTCTTGATGTAGTAGCCCCAACACCGACTGCTCTCATCCCACGTACCCCCCTTACCTTGGTCTCGGCCAGATAGTCAGCCGAGGACTTGAGCTGCCAGGGGTTGGCGGCGTCGGGGTGGGGGTTGCGCTTGAAGAAGTGGTGGGCCTTGCGGGCGGCATGCAGCAGGTGTGGCTTGGGCAGGCCCTGGGTCTCGCAGATGTAGCGCACCTGGTCATACTCGTTGTTGCCCGGGTAGAGGGGCCAGCCCAGGTGCAGCTCGGCCATGACACAGCCCAGCGACCACACGTCCACCTTCTCGCAGAAGGGCAGCCCCAGCAGGATCTCGGGGGCCCGGTAGAAGCGCGACTGGATGTAGGGCTCCTTCACGTAGCGCACCTCGCTGAAGATGCTGGCGGAGCCAAAGTCGATCACCTGTTACAGGGGGTGGGGAGGAGGGGAGCGGGCAGGTGGAGCCGCAGGGACAGCAGCCGGTCTGGGCCTCCCTTGCCATCTCTCACCTGGTGTCTTTCTGCACCTGTCATTCGCCGCTGCCCGTCTCTGTGTCGGTGAGTCTGTCCCTTGTTTATGTCCCTACCTCTGTCTCTCCCCGCCTTTGTCTCTGGTTTGTGTGTCTGGCTCTGTTTCTGTTGCTCTCCCCTAGAACTCATGCCTGTGAGGGATGGGCCCCCCCTCTTTCTCTCTCACCCCACGCCTTGTCCATAAGCAAATCTTTTGGCTCCACCCTCCAAATAGACTCAGAATCTGCCCACCCCGCCCCCACCCTCCTC